TATCTGTTCAGAAAACCTTGTAAATTCTCTAGCTGTCTGCAAAGATACTGCAGAAGCTAATCACCTTGCAACTATTCCACAATGTGACACAGATTTACTGCATAATACCTAAAGAATGAAGCGAAAGATGTTAGCCTCAATCAGGGTCAGATCACAAAATCCAAAGGGAGGACAAATCACAGATAGACGAGGACAAGTAACAGACAATGCCGCGAGCATGCGGCCTATATTCAACTTGGTTAATTTCTTTGATGATGCAGAGGTCTTGTTTAATGGAAAAAGTACCCAGACATACTTTGTGAATGTATGTGGATACTGACCTGGACTTGTGACAGGACTAGAGGTAGTAGGCTCAATAATTTCTACAAAAAGGGAAAAGGAAAGAAAAGAAAAACATTTTGTGTATTAATCATACATAAAGACAAACACTCATGAGACAATCAACAGTCATGCAACATATACACAGGTGGTCTTTCATTTGAAGGCTTCCCTGACCATGAAAACCTTTGAACAAAGTCCAGTCTATGAGGTTTACACAACATCCCATCACTCTCTTTGATATTAAATCTGTACCAACATTTAGGAGTCCTTTCCACATTCTAATCTATAGCCTTGAGTTATATTTTGCTAAAGTTAAGGACCTGCCCTTAGAGTTCTCAGCAGTTTTCAACAAAGTACTTCAATAAAATACAAAAGTCATGTAGATTGTCTTTTAATGAGAGAGTTATGCTAGTTCCTCTAGTCATTCAATCAAGTGTTGCTGCTTAATAAAGACTAAAATAACATCATGGGTAAAATTTAAATGATCTCAGTCTGTCCTTTCGAAGATAAATCTCATCTTTTACAAGCTTATCTATAGAACTTGGCTACTTACAGTTATATCTGTTTTGATGTAAAAAGTAAACACAGACATACCCCACACACATATACATAAACATGTACACATTTTGAATTATGTGAAATATCCTGTCTTGAAGGCACTGCTGGCTATAGCCTAGGAAGAATTAAAGGGTAACAATCCAACAAATAGTAAACTCTATGGCCTTTTAAATTATGCATGCACTTTCAAGATTTCCATTTTTAACTTATGTTTTAGTATGGCTTTTTCTTTTCATGTATTATATGGTGGTGGTCATAGCAATCTTAAAGTATTTGAACAATTTTAATGAGGAAGAACGCAAATATCTAGAAATCATGGCATTTTTGGGTAACTCTAATAATGTAGTGACCTGGAAGATTTATTTCAGCACTAATTAATTTAACTGATAAGTATGTCCTAAATTATACATAAAAAATCTAAATTCTTAGAACCAAATACAATATGTGTAGCTGTATGAGGTAAAAGCAGAGACTCATACGCGCGTTCTTGTCTCTGAGCAAGGATTGCCTTTTTCTAAGGCTTGTATATGTCCCAGGCTATGGCGGGGCTGAATCTCTGGCTCCTGTTCTGACTGTTTTGGGCCAATGGATCATCAAGATATTCAGGATAACTGACAAGGCTCATGGTCCAAGTTACAAGAGATCTGGGGCAAGGAATATAAATTTTGAAAAGAGGCATTCTCAAACAGCAAAATTAGTCAGCTAACAAGCTACAATTAAAAATTCAAAAGTCCAGTAATGTATCTGACAATATGATATGGTGTTCTATTATTTATAGAAAATTAACATTTGAAATAAAACATCATATCAGAGAAATGCTATTCTAATTTAGAGTGATTCTTTTGTTGCATTGATATAAACTCTGATATATTTTTATACTAATAGGTTTTTAAATTTATAAAAGCTCCTTGAAAGTGATTGAAAATTTATGTTAAAGTTACTTAAATGCTATATAGTAAATCTCAATAATACATGCTAAAAGTGCATATTCAAATGACAGAATTTTATAATTCCAAAGAGAAATGAAAACAAATGGCTAGAAAGGTAGGTACTGAATCAGAATATTTGTTCATTTTAACAGTAAAGGTTCAAATTTAATAGTACAGTGAAGAGTGGACTATATTTGCTATTTGAACATTTGAACTTCAATTTCTTCAACTGTTTGGCTTCCACCATTTTGAGTTTTCAATGCTGATTTGGCAGTTCACTGAAAAAGGTGGTGTGACATACAACTACAACTTCATCTCAATGCAAGGATGATAGAAACAAATATTTATCGCACTGAACCTAGTTCTTCATTGTACCTGCAGTTCATAAATATAACCGGTAAGGCAAATGGAAAAAAATAGTATATGAATCTATCAGAGAAAATTAATGAGTGTTAGGATTTGGAGACGTTTAATTATATGAGGTAGAAGCAAAGATGGAGAAAATTATGAGCATTTGAAATTATAGAGAAAACAAATTGCTTGTGTAAAGTCACATTTCCTTGTAGAAAGGGCTTTTAAAAGAAGGCAGAGATTTAGTACATGAAAAATTATGTTGTATATAGGATCCATACCACAATGTTAGTTTCACAGTCAACCCCAATTTTTTTTTTTTGTATCATATAGGTCAAGATACATTAAATAATTTATTGTGAGGTAATTTTATACAAGTCAAGAATTAGGACCAGTGAGGTTGATTAAATTTGAGATTCAGATTATTAAAAGTAGGGGTCACATTTGGGGCTGGATGTGCATGAAGCAGAAGAGAACCTAGAGGAGTAAATTCAAAGCACAGGGTTTGGGAAAAGATGGTGCTGAGAATTGTAGATAATTGTAGATGAGGAGAGTCAGCTAGTTTCTTTGACATAAGAACTGACATAAGAAAGGCCCAGATGAAATTGGATTAAATGTCTTTCAGCAGCATGATGTTGAATAAGTTAATCTCTTCAACTTCACCCCCAGTGTCCTCATTTATGGAAATTAGAAAAAAAGCTCTTAATTTGTAGCATTAAAGATATTTCACATAAACAACTGAGAGTGAATAGCAGTTAATAGCTAAAACTGATCAAAGCAAAATGGAAAAATTAGTATCTGAATCTATTAAGAGAAAATTAATGAATGTAGGATTTGAAGAGGTTTCATTTTATGAAGGAGAAGCAAAGATGGAGAAAACTGTATTTGAAATTATATAGAAAATAAAATTCTACCTATAATGTGGACATTTATGTTCTCCAAATATAAAAGGTTAGTATATTGTAATATATTTTGGGTAATTATTTGGGGGTCATATTGACTTTTGGAAGAAAAGTATAGGATCTAAGGTATTTTTAACAGTTCCAATTTAAGTAAGAGTAGACATTTAAAGATCAAGATCTCACAATTTTTATAAAGAACAGGTATACTTCAATTTTAAAATTTGACTTTCGTGCCAAATTGCAGGCCTGTATTATTAACATAGACAGAGGTTTCTTAAAAATTAAATGTTTTCCCCTATATTTCCAAATTACAATGATCCCACTAATTCATTATAGGCCACTTTTTTTTTTATAAAACAGTATTTTATTAATGAGAAAATACAGACTAATTGCTGAATCTGACTAGATTCAATACTAGACATCCTTATACTGTTCAGACATAAATTTAATTTTTCAGAAACTACTTTCTGAGTACCTATTATAATAGTAATCATTATATTAATCACAATTGCTGACATTTCTTGAACCCTTGCTATGGGCAAGACACAATTATACACATTAACTCAGTTCCTTCCCCCAATGAGGCTCATACTATAATTAATTCCCCTTTATAGATGAGATACTAGTACACAGAGAGGTTATTATTTTGCTCACAGTAACACAGCTAGTAAAGAATAGAAATGAGATGTTATGCAAGGATATCTTAGCACTCATTTTCTCACATTCCAGAATAAATACTCTTTCATTATTTCTGCAATTACTTAAATGGGGCATTCCTCTAAAAGGGTCTTACAATTTTTCTCTAATTCTAGCTTTTCCAATAAAGGTCTTTTTATTAGCGGTGACTAATAGTGAATGACTTCTATCACTAAAAATGAAAGTGATGAATTCAATGTTAATTTCTTGAGGCTGTTATAAAAGGGGACACTGCATGGAGATAAGAGTTTGTAACACATGATTTTCCAATTTTGTTATCTTATTCTCTGCCACACCAAATATAGCTGTTTGCTTCTGGATAAGGCTTGATGCCATAAAGGGACAGTTCTCCAAATAGCTCAGAGGATGTATCATAACCAGATTACACAGTCAAATAAAAATCTTGAACATGTAAACTTGCACTCTGTTAACACAGTAGTTTGAGAGATTGCTTCACTTTCAAGAGCATTAGTTGTTTTTATATGGATCAGATTTGAGCTGTTCCCTTGTTGTAGTAATCAACTTGTAGGCAGTGAAATATTCTTCAGAAGGTGCCAAGTGGGCTCTCCTGATGAACCACAATAAAAGTTCTCACTGAGATTTTCTTATGTGTCTCATTATGTGGAGAATCAGAGTGAGTACTCCAAGGTTAATGGCAGAATACATCACTGTGGGCAATTGGATTGCTGTGGGGAATGACCTTAGCAAAGGGATAATTTTAATTGTACATAAAACAGAGGTGAAGAGAAGTTCACCAAGACAGACATTTTCAACAGTTATATGGAAAAATGAAGTGTCGTGTAAAACAAGATTCTGCTTCGTTAGTAAATGTCATTTTGGCAAGGATAGAAAGAAACGGTATTAAAAACAATGTATTGAGGAAATGGAGTGTGTTACAAGGAAGGAGTCATTTGTAAGGACCCTTTCTATAGACCCTATTATTCTTGTGCAACTTTGCACACACGTTATATTGTTAAGAATTGTTCAGTATTGAACCTCTTTATTTCGATGCATTTTGGAAGGTCGATTGCTATTTTATCTTTATGTTATAATACAGCCATGATGTGTGGAGTTATCTTTTTAGACTGTTGAGAGATAACATGATTGTGTGTTGAGACATGGCAGAAATCAATCTTTTTGGTTGCCAGGGTTTCTTCTGAAATCTCTGACTCCCAATCACTGAAGAGTGGAAGTGATGTCATTCTTTTGGTGGAATGAAGAGGGCATTGTTCTGGAATGAGCAAGGCTAGTGTTATGGAAACCACAGAAGACAAACCATGAGCAAACTTGGACACAGAAATCAGAGATGGTAACTTTTCATTTTTACCTTCACGGGAGGTCAATAAAGTATATGTCAAACCTTTTAGGGCACTGGGATAGCAGAGATTTTGTGCAGAGAGGTTAACTTAGTAACCAGAGTGTTGCCTCAAGAGAAGAAATACATGATATGTAAACATGTTGTTGTAGCTGATGTCAGTGACACAGTGATACAGACAACACTGTCTTGGCAGTCAGAAGGCTGTTTCGATCCCCTTGGCGAACCTGAAATGTGCAAGTATAACCCAAACTCTGGATTTCACTTTTCTGATGTACAATTAAGTTATGACAGTTGTCCCACATACTTCACTGGATTTTTAAAATTTCTATCACATGTTGGTTTTTTGAAAGTTGCTTTAGCACAGTGGTTAGTAGTACAGGTTCTGGAGGAAACCTATTTTAGACCAAGTCTGTGTCTAATAATTAGAAGCTCCAAACATGCAAAAGTTTCTGCATTTAATAAAGTTAAGATAATAATAGCTACCACTCAGCATTATAGTAAAGGCAATTGAGTTCTGCATACAAGCCACTTAGCATTGTGACTGTCAGGCAAATAATTCTGGTTCTATCATAGTCACCTTATTTTCTAATTCAAATTATTATAAGTGACCTTATAACCCTGATGGCACTATCAACACTTCACGGTACTATAAATGACTATCATATCATTCAACCTTACAAGTAAATACTTCTCCCTCAAGAAAACTACTTTTATTAATAAAAAAGAATGCAAAAATGTTTTCAAATGTTTACAAGGGAAAATCTACATGTCAACAATAGCGGCATTGAACTATGAAAATTTTACTGTAATTTTTACTAGTGTTCAAGATTATTCTGCATTTCTTTTTCAGAAGGTGCTTTTGTGCTTAGTGGTAGAATATGCTACTGGCAGCTGTTTGAATGTGATGTGTATGTGATAGGGTAAAGGAGAATTCACCAAGACATAAGAATTATAGGGTTGCAGTAAATATCTCTCTATGTGCATATATCCAAAGGATCCATTTGAAGACAAAACCCTATATCCAAACTAAGAATAGATGCATGGGGCCTCCCTGGTGGTGCACTATGAAGCAATCCACAGCCTCTGCATCACGAGTTCCATCCCCGGACCACCAGGGAGCAACCCACATGGCAAAGACCTCTTGTGTCTCCCCCGCTGCCCCCCTCAGCAGTGTATTTCAGTCAATCTGCCTGTTCTGTTCCCAGCTCTGTCTCTGGTGAATCTGCTCACCCCCTGCATCTCTGGCCTGTACCCAAGCTCTTGTATGCATAAATAAATAAATCTTTATAATAAAAAAAGAATAGATGCATGTCTATTATCTTCCTGTATATATTGTGGGGCACTATAAATATTGCTATATCTTAAACCTTGATAGCTGACTATGGAACAGAAGTATCTAGGTGGGGAGTATACAGGGGAGGGGTAAGAACAAAGAGGGAAGCACAATGATGTGTGGTGGTGGAATATGGGTGAGTTGGTGGTGGGTGCACTACTGTGTTAATACCAAATTGGGGTATCCCAACAATAATTCAATTAAAATGTATAAAAAATAAATTTTGCTACACTTAATCTTGGTCAAAACTACTTCTTTGAATAAAAAAAAAAATCCTCTCAGTTGACCCAAATCCATTTCTGTTATGAGTGAGAAGAATGTTGTACAAAGTCATTCATTTAATGTACATTGATTAGCTTAATATTATTATTAAAGCTTTCTATACTTATAGTTTCTTTAATGTATTTCTCTACTAGATAAGATGTTGAATTATTCTGGAAGAACTTTGGTTTATACTATGGATTAGTATGGACTGAAATGTTTGTAAAGCACCTCTAAGTAAACTACCAATTTTCAGAAAATATAACACAGATGCGAAAGACCACTGAAGAATTTTGGATTTTAGTGACTAGTTCATATGGCACTCTGATGATAAACACTATTTTCATCATTGTAGAGATGACTTCTAGAAAATGTCTGATGAGTGTGGTGTTATTTCTGAAATATGCCTCCCAATATCCAGAAGAATAAATGCCTAAGCCTTCAGCTAACACAATTGGTTTCCTTTCTAAAACAAATTAGGATAAAAACCAAAATGCAGGTAAAGCAGTTAAAGATACAACAAGTATCAAAAAGAAGAGTGCTGGGGCCTCCCTGGTGGCCTCGGGGTTAAGTTTTAATGCTAATACCTTAATGCCCCTGGCAAAGTGGCCTGGGTTCAATCCCTGCCAGGGAGCTAACACACACGGCCACATGGCACAGCAGACCTCCCCTGCTTCACCTGCTGCTCCCCTTACCAGTGTATTTCAGTAAATCTGCCTGTTCTGCTATCCATTGTGTCTCTAGTGAATCCTCTTAACCACCCCTTCCACCCCACACCTCTGGCCTACACCCAGTTCTATGCAAAAAAAAAAAAAAAAAATCTTGCAACAAAGGAATAAATCTTAAAAAAAAAAAAAAGAGAGAGTATTAGCCATGGATATATTTGCAAAAGTTGATTGTATTTATGTCATGCAAAGAAATGCAGGACTGAGACCCCTGGTAATTAATAATTGGATTATTTATTGTCTTAAACACAGAAAATCCTAATTTTATCAACACTGAATTGCAACCTGTGAGCACTTTTCAATTCTTCCCATGTGGGACTGTATAGAGGAATGACTATCAGTGATTTTCTCTGTTGTTTTTTTTTTTGTTGTTATTGTTATTGTTTTTGTTGTTGACACAGAGATCTCCAAGGAGTTGGCAAGTGACCAGATGATAAGCTACCCATTTCACTTCATTAGCACATTAATCATCAGTTTGGCAGAATGAATCTAAAAGGGATTCTGTTTAATTCACATCAACTCTAGTTCTAAGACATAGCCATATGAGGTATATTTTAATATGACTGGAGTTACACAGAAATAGATTCAGATCTCTACCACATACTATATATGAGATATATCACAAGGTAATGATTATAGGTAAGATGAGTTCCTTAAAATGAATATGCAAGATGCCACATATAGCATACTGAATAGGATAGGAAGATGCCATTTTTTGTGTCCGTCCTCTCTGAGATGAAAGAAAGATCTTAATCTCTAGCTATTCCTGCCTCTTATTTGGGCAATATATTTCTAAACAACTGAGTAATAAAGAAACTGATAACTAGTCATATCAAGGCAATTTAAGGATGGTGGCAAATGTCTCTCAAATATTGACTCCACTGAAGATATGTTATGTGAGCCTACCTGTTGGCCCAGTGTGTGGTGTCTACAATGGCAAACTCTTTGACAATAAAGGATGTTATCAGATAACCATTACAGGCACCAAAGTGACACACTCTCATATGTGCAGCTTCTGTGAGCCACTTGTATAAGGCCAGGCTCAATATGGAACAGCAGGAAAAGAACAGACTGGCAGACTACATGTTATTGCTGTTGTCCCAATGCTGTCTGAAGTCAAGTGGCAATGATACAGCTTTCTGGGATACCAATGCTAGCAGAAAGTCAGGCCTGCCAATGAGCAACTTTATTATTGGCTCAGCTAAGGAAAAATACCAAATCCTAAGGGCCAAAGCCTTGAGAGGAGACCATAGATACTTCCTAAATAAGAACTACTTGATTGTTAAGGCACTGACAGACTAGTTTATTTTGGAGTTACTAATTCTGTCCTCAGCACACCTTTTGTGCATATTCTTACAATATATTTTACAGAGAAATGAATTTGTAAGAGCTTGAAAATAAATAGAAGAAAAATAATTATATAATATAGACTGTGGTAAAAACTACAAAAAATAAATACAGATACTTTAGGAACATGTAGGAAGGGAATCTATCATGTGATTATAATACATGATTAGGGAAAATCCCTCTGCGATCTGACATACTAAACTTTACTTTCCATATTTGAATTATGTGCTTTGTCTAAGCTGGTGACAGACGACGACAGAAGGGGATGTCATCTGGGTGTATTACTAGTGTGAGACTGCTAGCCATGAGTGTAGTTACAACATAGTCTCCACTGGGCAATGCTCTTGTGAATATGAAATGTCGAGGGTATGTTATGATGTGCTTTCTGAATAACGGGATATCACCATGATTCCATTTAGAACTAGAGATGATACAGCCTGGGGAAATCATATAGGCTGTTCTTATCTCACAGTTTATCTAACAGATGAACAAAATGAGGCCCAGACACACAAGTGATGTGCTCAGATCATAGGGGTAATGAATCACGGAGATGGAATTAGGAGTTCTCTTTTCACTCCCAATGCAGAACAATAAGGATGACAGACAACTTTGTAATGCTACACCCAACAATATTACTCTAAATATGACAAATCAAAGCAAGCCAAGTCTGTTTAGTAATGCACAAGTGTAGGGTATATCATAATTTTATTCCTGTCATAAGAGTGAGTCCTCATAATTCCATAAGGCAAGGAAATAAATGACTGAAGATCAAAGTCTCCACAAGCAATTTTACTTGGTGTCAGTGTTTGACACAACCAACTCTGGAATATATTGGACTTTGGGAAAACACACTACTTTGTCTTAAGATGATTTGAAGAAGTATAAATGTGTATATACCTGCATAATCAAGTGTAAAGTGGATATATACATGTGCATGTCTGCATTTATATATATAAGCACATATATGTGCTACATGGTATGAATATACAAAACATGGTAAACAATTTTTTTTATTTCCTGTATTTCTCATTAGAGCATAAGTTTCACAAAGGCAGGAACTTTACCTATTTTGCTATTGTATTCATGATGCCTGGAACATTCTGGCTATGAATGTACAATTGCATATATGTGTGGGTGCATCTCCTCTTATGTGAATGTCTTTATTAGGGTATTGTACAGACAGACATGTCATACAAGTGTGACAATTCTACAAGGTCTGTTGGAACAGGAGGATTCATGGAGAGTAGTAACTCACAGACACTGACCAAACACCTTAACTGTACAGTTTGAATATGTTCCCCAAATGAGAGGTGTTGCATTCCGGAGTCCAAACAGGAGTTTCAGAGTCACTTGCATATTAACACCATTTTTTAAGGTTAAAAAAATTAGGCAATATTAAAACAGTAACTTATATAAAATGAAATAGTACAGTATGGCTGACCAAGATACTTGCTACCCTGATATCATAATTTTTCCGTTTATTCTCCTGTTATATAAATACCAAATGTTTAATTATCACAAAGAAAGAAAAAGCAGCAGGCTATGATTATTTGGACATAAAATGTCCTAATCACACAATTTACTGTACATACGTAAAATAATAATATATGATTTCAGTCAAGCGTGGTTTTAGAGCACAAACTGGTTTAAGCTCAATGAGTCTAATTTTTGCATGGTCTGGACCTTCAAGTACATGTTATTAATATTGAAATCTTTAATAGATTCAGAAACAATTTAAGTTCAAAATTTGAGCATTAGTTATGGATGATTTTTACACGCAAATTATACATTTCAGTAAAGCAAGTTATGCATACAAAATTAAACTCTTGGGAAACAAATCTAGAATATAGCACCTGTTAGTTAAGTTGGATAAAATTTTTAGCTTTTAAAATCACATTAGGTTTTAGGTGTCTTATGAGGTCAAGGCAATTGCTTAGCATTATTTGTATTCTGACTTTTTTGTTCGCCATAGCATTATCAGAGAACTAGGCACCTACAGAGGTAACTGTCAGAAACCAACCTAATCTACATATTGTCTTATCTCTCAGTAGCTCAAGCTTCTTTGAATGAGTATGCTTTCCCTTCCTGCTCACTAAATGTTGCTACCATTTTCTGAAACAGTGGTAAGGTTTTCAGTGACTTATTTGTTTAATGTTAATTTATCAAAATAATTTAAAGTGGGTTTCTTTGTTTGCCTAATTAGCAATAGTTTTGCATTAAAAGTATCTGAAGGCAATGGATGACAGGGGAAAAAAAATCCATGCTTAGAGTGAAAAACTTGATTTTAGATACAAGAGTTCAGTAGTTTTGAACAATAAATGCTTTGAGTCCTACTTGTCACTAGAAATATGGGGAGAGTAAAATCTATTCCTTTTCTCTCTCTCACAGTAGTAACACTGTATTAAATACCTTCTTTATACTTCTATTTATCCATCTATGAAATGGCAAAAATAACAAATTGCCCATAAGGTGATTGTGAAAATGAAATAATTTTGGTAAAGGTTTTAGCACAGTGCCTGTCACATAATAAACACTTAAAAAGTTAGCAATTACTATTAATACAACAAATAATTACATGGTTTACATGTTACATAGTAAATATTACAATTATGATTATCTTCAATCTAATACAGTCCATGATGGAAGGCTATAGGGTCATTGAATGGGAGGGAGTCTGAGGGTATAAATGAGTACAGTTTATAATTACTTTACAAGAACACAGCAAGTTATAGTAGGAAGAATAAAGACTTGGAAACCCATCCTGGCTCTGTGACTGTTCACTCTATAGTCCTAGGCAAGGTATCTAACCTCTCTAGGGCTGTTTTTTCACTCAAAAAGTAGAGAAGAGAGTGAAAAGAGATGGAATAACATGTCAGTCGCCACAATGCTAGTTGGGATGAAAACTCAGAATTCAGGTTTTCTGACTGCCAGGTCCAGTTGTCTGCATTAACAGCTGACGGGCTGCTGGCTCCATTGGAAGTAATTCATTCATTACTTCATGCTGCTAAGATTATTAGTTATTACAGTATAAGTGCTGTTAGATGCCAGAGATGTAACAGAATTCAGAAAGAGAAAGTATCTTTGCCTTGATGAAGAAGGCTAGTCTAGGAGGGAGAAGTGGCTTCAGATGTGGGGTCCCATTTGGTTGTAGAAACGGCAGCTGAATGCAAAAACCTAATATCAGGATCTGCTTTTCTGCCTTTACCTATCTGTAGGAGGAACAGAAGTGCTGTGAGCTTATCAGATGGATGCATGGTGCATAGGGCCCTCGCTTTTCAGGAGTTTGCTTTTGTGTTTTGCTGACTTCCATGGCAACCATCAAACAAGTTTTGTGGAAAAGAAAATCTCACCAGAACTATCCTAGCTTGGATGATTAGGCTTCTTTGGAAGCCAATGCCCTTTGCTGGTTTTAGTGTGTTGATCCCTTTTAAAACCAAATTTTATGGATAGCCTTCTGTCATGTTTCATTTTTCCTAATTTTTAAAAATTTTGGCATCATTTGATTCTTTCCTTTCCATGAAATTATCAACCTGAGTATACGATACGTGTGATACAATCTAAATTGAATATATTAATAATATATGGATCAAAGAGCCATATTTGTGAAGAGGAATCTGGGTCTGATAAGCATTTAAGAGGTAAAGTACCAAATGGAAATGTAATCCTTTACTTAAGATTAAAAAATATAATGCCTCTTCAGTCACAAGTGTGACTAGATTTGGCTGTAATGTAAAGAAAGGCAAATTGACTAATCTGACTAATCTTTTCTCTAATCCAAATAAATAAGGAATGCCTATGGAAAACACAATTTCCAAAATTGTTCATTCATTAAATAGAGGGTAAAATGAAGATTTGATAATGAAGAAGGAAATCACTTCATTTATCTGTTAATTATTAATTAATCTGTTTACAAGTTGACTGAGTACCTACTCTATGCCAAGTATTATGCTATGTGCTGAGGGTACAAAGATAATAGTACAGAGCTCACTTTGAGTGGAAGAAAATAAATAAAATTTAAAAAGGATTAACATGTAACAAACATAAATAGTTACCAAATACGAAAGAAGGGAAATGTGTTCTTAAAGGTGGTGATATTAGGAGCATATATGTATTGAATACATGCTAGGCAATATGCTGAATGTTTCATACACATTAACCCTTTCAATTCTCATAACAATCTAGGGAAGTGGATATTATTATTGTTATCCCACTATTAAAGAGAAAACTCTTCATAGAAACATTCAATCACTTGTCCAAGGCTATAGGAAGTTAAGTGACATAGCAGGAACTCAAATCCAGAGTGAATGGACTCTAGCATCTGCATCCTTAACACATAAGCCTTACAAAATACACAGATATTAGAAAATATTGGGTAAGGAGTTACCGTATGTAACTGGGTGAAAAAGAGAGCCTCAGAACTTAAGGAATACATGTAATATGAAATAAGATCTACATTGACAATGATCGGTTTTCTATATAAAGAAATGCCCTATTGGTTGGTGTCTCTGAGAATCATTTATAACTACTTATCAATAAGCCATGTGGACTAGAATGCAGCAAAAAGCTAGAGGGATTCTGGCAAGTTGGTTTCACAATCTTATCACTATTAAAGTTGCTTTTATTTTATCCACTTTATCCTTAAAATAAGTTTTCAATTATGACCAGTAACTATATGTACCAACTTTCTTTTCTCCCAGAATGGTTTTTTTTTTTTTTTTTTTTACATTTTTGATGTTTTCATTGGGTTAAAGAAATGGACAAATTCTTTATGAATATCTCTTCTAGTCTTCTCATTTGGGTATCTCTTTGAATTCTCATTTCACTGTGTATTTAAAGTGATAGTCCTGGGCCTTCCTGGTGGCACAAGAGGTTAAGACTCAACCTATGAAGCTATCCATAGCCACTGCAGCAAAAGTTCGATCCCCAGCCAGGGAGCTACCCACATGGTGCAGTGGACCTCTCCTGACCTGCCTGCTGCTCCCCTCAGCAGTGTGTTTCAGTCTGCCTGTTCTGTTCCCCACTTGTCTCTGGTGTTCCTCTCACCCCCCCCACATCTCTGCCCTGTACCACAGTTCTTGTATGCATAAATAGGTAAATCTTAAAAAAAAAAAAAGAAAAATACCGGATAGTCTCACTCATAGCAGGAATCTAGAAAACCTAAATAAGGGAGCAGGAAAAAGAATAACTATAAGAAAGAAAAAATTCAAAATCAACAAACGACTATGAACCAGAGACACACTATGGGGGGATGGGTCAAAATAAGGGGGGTGCAATTGTATGGGGAATATAAAAATAAAAAAAATTAAAAAAGTGATAATCCGTTATGGTTTTGATACTGTCCATCTAACTTGTTCATCTCTCAGGAGACAGAGACAATGGACTGAGAAGTATTTGTTAGGAGGTTATTAATTGGAAGTGAGTACATGTGTATTTTTCAATTTAGCAAAGTCACTGGAAAGGGGATAGCCTATTTCAACCATTCATAGTCTATCATTATTTCCTTCCAATTTGTGAAGAGGTCTTCTAGAAACTGGACTCATTGTTTTGCAGCTTTAATAGCTCTTGAAGAAGAATCAAGGGTGGTCCATCACAGAAAGAGAAATATGAGGTGAAAGATAATTAAAGACATACAAAAATTAAAAACAAAAAACACCTGCAGGATTAATAATAGGATATTCTTCCATATTGACATGTTCCCAGATAGAAATGGAAATTACAAGTACATTGTTTTTACCCAATGGAAGAAAAAAGATGAGCAGGGATGAGCCCTGCTTTGCCAGTTCTGCTGTAGCTCTAAACCCTGTGGTTGATCAGTCTTCTAGATGGCCTCCACTGATTCTGGCCTGCTAGTATTCACTTCACGGTACCAGTATTGGTGTGTTTGACCAACACACATTTCATGTATTGGTGATGGTATGTCACTTTGCCCTAGTTAAAAAAAAAAAAAAACAAAAAACTAATCAACACTGTAGCTTCCATCTTAGGTTCTTGGTCCACTGCCTACATGCCCTTAACATAGTTTGGAAAAGTACATGCACTGAGCAGGTTTATGAAATATCCCACATGGCAAGCGCCTAGGATCTCTGAGTCATCTAGGAAGCAAATATTCCAGACTCATCAAACCTCAGTTTTTACCTTGACTGCAATCTCATGAATGAGGTAGAACAACCTAGAAACTGAGAAAATAAATGCTTGCGGTTTTAAGCTAATAGTTTGGGGATAGATTATTATGCACCAAAATCTAATCTAAACAAACCCATCCCTTTTCTTCTTGCAATGGACTGGTTATGAAGGCACTGTGAGTCTTTCCATAGCTGGCAACTTTTCTGAGCAGCAACATTCTGCTTGGGTACAATACTTTACTAAGATAATTTTTCACACTAAATGAGGCACATTCCATGCTGCCATCAAATGCAACGGATTGTAACAGTGGATTTTATAGGGGCTCAGTCCCCAAGGCCAAGACTGTGCCCTACAAATTTCTCAACTTTCAGCAAAGAGGAGACAAGATTTCTTTCCAGGACTGGGCTCCAATCTGGATTTGACTTCAGCTTCTTGTCACTGTTTCAAAGACATCTTACATTCTTGGATATTCTTGACGTTTGAATCATGTGTCAAGATGTTGTTGATTCTAGTGATGGCAACGTTTCATCTCATATGCATAGCAGATTGTTAAAACATGCCGAGGCTGTGGTGCTCCTTTCCATTCTGCTGTTCCCAATTTTATTGTCACTTCAGAAATAAACTACAACATATAAAGGAGCACTGAGAAGGCGGCTTTAAGAGCCCTGGGGTAGAGCTAAAAGCAGCTCCCTTGATTTTATGTTTGAGCCATCTGGTGCTTACATCAGCTACCACTTGTTTTCAAATATATATTATTTGCGACTTTGTAAAGCTGAATAACATGAGCCCCTTTGGTATAGCAAATATTGTCAACGTACAGTCATTTAAATAAAAGAAAGAGCTAGTCATTTCAAATGAGTCTGCATGGATAGAGGTTGATAACTTCCTTGCACTGAGACTAAGAGAGCACTTATACCAAGAGAAATGTCTCTAACTTCATCCTCCAGGATGCCAGGAGAATAGTCACCCTTTTCAGATAAACCATCTGTGATTACAGCAAAGGCTAGTATTTGTTGAGTGCTTACTAAATCCCAGGCACTTTGTTAACTACTTCATATATTTCATCTGATCAGAATAAATTAGACAATGCTAGACTACTAAGTAATCTCAAAAATCTCAAGGAATTAACATAACAAATATTTATTTATTACTTTGCTACATGCATATCTATCTAGATATCTTTCAGTGGTCAGGCTTACTCTCTTTTTATTGTACAATGTAGAACAACAAAAGTACTCTTTTAGTCAACTTGGGATGGAAAGTGACAGTGTCACCCTCTGGTACTTTTATGCTTTCGTATGGAAGTCCCACATATTATGATTACTCACAGTATCATTGGTAGAAGTAAGTCTTCATTGGTTGACTAAAGTCTTCCCATATGCCTTGAAAATACAGAGAATCAGCTCCAGATTCCCTTACTAGAAATCTCTAAAATACTTTCTTCTAACAGCTCTATTTCATAAGTACAGAAAATACCATACAAAGAAGTAAAGTGATTTTCAAGGTCATTTACCTATTAAGTTGTGAAAATAGGTAAGTTTATAGCCAGATCTGTTATAACTCAAGCCTATGGTCTTAAGCACTACCTATGGAAGGAATTCTTGGCTTATAGCAGCACTGAATGGAAGGAGTGTGTGGTTACATAGTACTAACTTTACTTGCATTTGTCAGAATCCTGAAGCTGATGTTCTGCCATTGACCCAACTTCTCTGTCTGATGCTGTGGATATGACTTTGCTTGAATTCAGTCTTTCATGAAGAAACATTGACCACAGTGACTGGTCTAGTTCCTTGCGAATACAGCCTAGACTAGTGTCCAGAGGATGCTCCCCATTCCCTGTCACCCACTTTCTGCAAGTCATTTGGCAGGAGAAATTGGACCACATTTTTCCATGGTATAGGAAAATCTTGTTTTAGAGCAAAAATCAGCTTTAGGTAATGGATTCAGGGAGTTTTTTTTCCCTTCCTAGAATCCTCATATGCCATCCAAGCAAACTGTAAAATTAGTCCTATCTATGTCTTCACTGTTTTAAGTGTACAATACATCTTTCTGAGCATAACTTAGACCATACCTACATCATAGGCTTTATGTTGTCACAGAGACTAGCATTATAAAAGGAATTTACTGTATCATAGTGTGGTACTTCCATTTTATGCTTTTAAGAAGAATTATTAAAGATTTTGCATACTTGATCTGGAATTTTTTCTATCTTAACACAAAGTGCAAACTTTACTTTTTTAAACTATGCAAGCATTATTCTTTCACAGTGATCTTTACTTCTTGAAGAATGTAAACAAAGAAAGTTTAAGG